TAGCCATGCCACAGTCTACACCAGACTCGACCTCCAGCATGCTTACCACCTGGTTCGCATTGCAGCAGGCGATGAATGGAAGACTTCCTTCTGCACATGCTATGGTTCCTATGAGTGGCTTGTCATGCCATTCAGTCTCACAAATGCACCCATGGCCTTCCAGCGATTCGTCAACACGATCTTTGCCGACCTCTTGGACGTTTCTGTGGTAGTCTACCTAGCCAACATCCTTACCTACTCGGAAGACATGGCTTCACATCAGGAGCATGTCCAAGAAGTTCTTAGGAGACTCTGCAAACACGGCCTATACGCCAATCCGAAGAAATGCAAATTTCATACGGACAGACACTATGGAATTCTCAGATACTGCCTTTCTCCCTCCAGACTCACCATGTCCATTGAGAAGGTTAAAGCCATCCAAGATTGGCCTGAGCCCCATAAAGTCAAGGATGTCCACAGACTCGTACCCAGCCGTCTCTGCTACGTGGATGCACAAAATCTCGACTAAGTTGTTGTATTAGAATTCAGTTGTAAAGTCACGTTCAAGAACAAAAAGTGGATTACAATACAGAAGTCACATGCGACAGACATAAACACAAGTCCGATCACCTACTCCAGAAACCAACTCGCGACACTTCGCTCCGACGACTGGTGCAAAATGGCAGTGGCAGTACCAGTCGGCAATTGCCGAGTTCGACACGAGAGAAGGAGATTGCGGACACGTGAAGTTCCCATGAAAACATAAGTTGCACAATGGATCTTTTGGTGTTAACCCATGCGGTCCTGTACCCAACCCAACCCATAGCGCTTGGGGAGCACCTTGAGGGCTGTGAAATTAACACCTGGGCATGGGCGGAAAATCAACCCTTATATATTACTTTGATCCTAAAGTATAGTTCATGCTCAGTAGTATAGGTGGCACAGCATGAGCTAGGTATATTTTTTGGCTGCGTATGTTCGATTCTCAGCCGATAAAACTTTTTTCTCATTCCTTGCTCTTTAGTGTGCACAAATTTTACAACTATTCCACAGGAGAACACAAAAAAGTTGTACTGAGTGAGAATCGAACATACGCAGCCAAAAACATCATATCGTCAACTCACGCTGTGCCACCTATACTACTGAGCATGAACTATACTTTAGGATCAAAGTAATATATAAGGGTTGATTTTCCGCCCATGCCCAGGTGTTAATTTCACAGCCCTCAAGGTGCTCCCCAAGCGCTATGGGTTGGGTTGGGTACAAGACTGCATGGATTAACACCAAAAGATCCATTGTGCAACTTATGTTTTCGTGGGAACTTCACGTGTCCGCAATCTCCTTCTCTCATGTCGAACTCGGCAATTGCCGGTACTGCCACTGCCATTTTGCACCAGTCGTCGGAGCGAAGTGTCGCGAGTTGGTTTCCGGAGTAGGTGATCGGACTTGTGTTTATGTCCGTCGCATGTGACTTCTGTATTGTAATACACTTTTTGTTCTTGAACATGACTTTACAACTGAATTCTAATACAACAACTTAGTCGAGATTTTGCACGTCCACGTAGCGGAGTTGGCTGGGTACGAGTCTGGGATGTCCAGTCCTTCCTTGGCTTTGCTAACTTCTATCGGCATTTCATCCACCAATACTCCGACATTGTGGTCCCCTTGACGCGCCTTATGTGTAAAGGAGGAGCCCCCTGGCTATTCTCTGACAACTGTCGCTCTGCTTTCACTTCTGCTCCCATCCTGACACATTGGTTACCTGACACCCCCCTCATTGTAGAAACCGACACCTCCAATTACGTGATCTCCAGAATCCTGTCCATCCGTTGTAATGACGGAGAGATTTGCCCTGTTGCTTTCTGCTCTAGAACACTCTCGGTGCTGGAGCTCAATTACGACACCCATGATAAGGAACTGCTCGCCATTCACGATGCGTTCCGATCATGGCATCACTATCTTGAAGGCTCAGGAACTCCAATTGATGTCGTTACTGACCACAAGAACCTCGAGTATTTTTCCACCACCAAACTCTTGACCCGGTGGCAAGCCCGCTGGTCAGAGTTCCTCTCCCAGTTCCACATGACTGTCCGATTCCGTCCCAGAAGACTCGGAGTAAAACCAGATGCATTGACTAGACGCTGGGACGGCTATCCCAAAGAAGGGGATATGGACTACGCTCGCATCAATCCACAGAACTTCCGACCAGTCTTCACTTCAGAGCAGCTCACTGCGTCCTTACGAGCCATGTTCCTAGCTGCGACAGTAATCCAAGCAGCCGTACTCGTCGACACAGAGGCTCTCCATCGAGACATTCTAGCCTCCCTCTCCTCCGATACCACAATCTCTTCTCATCTCACTTCCCCCAACCTCCCCAATTCCCGCTAGTCCGTTGATGCTGAAGGCCTGTTAAGGCTGGACAACCGCATTTACGTTCCGGATTCCAATGATCTCCATCTCCGCATTTTGTGAGACAAACATGACCACCAACTTTCCGGACACCTCGGTCAAAACCGGACTCTAGATCTAGTACATCATGAGTATACCTGGCTGGGCATCCGTAACTTCGTCAAGAGTTACGTTTCCTCCTGCACTTCTTGTGCCCATGCCAAAGTTCCCCATCATAAGCCTTACGGCTTGCTCAAACAACTTCCCATCCCTAAATGTCCTTGGAACTGCATCTCCATGGATTTCATCGAACAGCTACCCTCCTCTTCTGGATTCACTTCCGTCTTGGTTGTTGTGGACCACCTGTCCAAACAGTGCATTTTCATCCCTACCCATGATACCATCACCTCTCTGGAACTGGCCAAGCTCTTCCTCCTCCATGTGTTCTCCAAGCACGGAGTTCCTTCCCACGTCACCTCTGACAGGGGTCCGGAGTTTGTCTCTCATTTTTTCCATTCACTTGGTAAGGCCCTCAACATCTGCCTCCACTTCACCTCCAGTTATCATCCAGAAGGAGATGGTCAGACCAGATGGATGAACCAGATGCTCAAGCAGTACCTGCGCATCTACAGTAACTACCAGCAGGACAATTGGTCCGAACTCCTACCTCTTGCGGAGTTCACTTACAACAACACTCCAAATGCCACCACAGGCATCTCTCTGTTCTTCGCCAACAAAGGCTACCACCCGAACATCACCATTTGTCAGGGACAGCTCCGAAAGCGGCAAGGTCCCGGCGCGAGGGACTTGATGGGACAGGTGTCGGCTATGCGTAGCGGCGGTCCCGTCGCAGGGTGAGCGTCCCTGACCACTTAGGCTGAAGTGGGAAGTTGGGTTATCATTAAAAGGGGAAAGCTATGGTACTTACCTGAAGTGGGAAGTTGAGAAGAAGGCTGCTTCTTCTGTTCCCACCCCAGGCGCTATTATATACACGCGGTCAGGGTCACGTGGGAGAAGCCACATCATCTCCGCACACAGCCGCGCCTCCCCAGGTGTCTCTGCAGGAGATCCCGGAGGTGGCCGCTCAGTAGGCAGGAGTGTGTGTGCGGCGGGTGCAGCGATCAGGGGAGCAGGATTAGGTACATAGTGGTACATGGAGAAAAGGGAAATCGACTGTAGAATAGAAATAGAGAGAAAAGGGGAAAGTGAGAAAGGAGGGACGGGGGGTGATAGCGGGGAAAGCGGAGTAGGGCAGTACGGCGCGGGGTGTGGTGCAGGGTCAGGCGGGTGTGCCCTGACACTGTTCACCCGGAGCGAGACCTAACATCAGTATGCGCCCAAGAGTACTCTGTAGATCTCGACTCCCTCCACCACTTCCTTTGCAAGGAAATGCACCTTGCTCAGATCTGTTATCAGGGCCCGGCAGACTCCTGTCAGAGTCCTGCCCCAGCTTTCGAAGTAGGAACTTTGGTCTATGTAAAGGCCAAGTATTTCTGCTCCACCTGACCTTCCAAAAAGCTCTCTGAGAAAAACCTCGGCCCATTCGAGATCATTGCCCGCATTGGAATCCACTCCCTCACTCTCCACCTGCCAGAAAACATGCGAGCCATTCACCCGGTATTCCATGTCTCGCAGATCAAACCCTCTGTCCTGAATGTCATTCCAAACCGCCACCAGCCACCTCTGCCTCCCATAGAAATCGAAGGTGAGATGGAGTTCGAGATTGAAGAGATACTCGACTCCAAGATCGACCAATGTAGACACAACAAGTTGCTCTACCTGGTCAAGTGGCTAGGCTATGAAGGGACCAATGAGGAGACACAATGGCTCCTTGCTGGTGAACTCGATCATGCCTCCGACCTCGTCGAAGCGTTCCACTCTCGGTACCCAGACAAGCCTGGACCTGAAGCTCCTTAGGAACCCCGACTCCTCTCCCATCTCTCCCTTCCTCTCCACTCCTCACTTCCATCTTCATTTTTTTTCTTTTCTGTAAGTACAGCTCCCCTCACCTTACTAATTCTGGGGCTTCAAGGGTTCAGGCCTAAGAAGGGGATACTGTCATATCCATCCATGGCCATCGACTTCCACCGCTTCCAATCCCTCCGGACTATCTCTGCTCCTTCTTCACTAACCTCGGAGCCCCCATATTCCCCAATCACCTCTGCATCCCTCCTAAGTACGGAGCCCCGAAGGCTTCCGGACAGCTCTGACGTCTGCTAGCGCACTCCCGCCTCCGCTGGGCAATACACCCTCGCTTGCCCTGCAAGCCCACCTTCGGGCCTATCCCTCCTTTCTGTTTCTGGGTTATCACCTACCATTCCACTAACCCCATAACCCAACTTGTAGGTAATATTCAATCGGCTAATGTTTAACCCCATTAGCTCTGCTCTGCTCAGCCCCACCATTTGTGAGCCCACCCTCATTGTAACTATATATACTCAACTTGTACATAGGTTACACCCCAGTAATAATCGACTAGAGTTTACCCCCTTTAGTTCTGGTTGCCAGTTAGTAAGTTAGGGCATGGACATGTTACTTGGCACAGCACTCCTGGCATAAGTCGCTGAGGCCGAAGCCCTCTGCCATGGAGACATTCCTTCATCTTGATCTGGTCTCTGACAGAGCAAGCCAGCATGCCCTTCAAAAAGAACTTCCAGTGGAACCAGTTCATTGCTCGTTTGATCCGGCAGGGGAAACAGCTTGTGAATTGGTGTGACAACCTCCCACTAGCACATGTTTTTTTGGGGGAATACTTGCAGAAAAAGATGGACACCTGGGAGATGCTGTGGACTTCCTGCACTGGAGCCGATAATCAACCTAAGCTTTTCATACAGTCAAGGCCTTCTGGAAGCGACATTATTGTTGTTGCTGTTAATGAGGAGGCCATATTGTCATCTGGTGATGCAGGTGTGTTTTTTTCAAAAGCCGAAGCGCACTCGAAAAGCTGTAACTCTTGTAGAGGATTGTGAGGATGGAAAGAAGGTGGCCAAGCGTTGTAGGGTGGGGTCTGAATGTGACTGCTTTGCTGGGTCTGCAAACGGTGAATCTTTTGCTCCCCAGGAAGATCGCCAAGTCTCTTCTACTAGTGTCTCGACTCTAGTGGCAGAAGAACCATTGCCTAGCAATGCTGGACTTGTGGGGTTCCCTCCCATCTCCATCCACAATCCCAATATCTTTGCATCTCTCCCTGGCCCCTCAAACAGCCAGCCTGCCAGTACTTTTCATGGCATGCCATATGGACTTGTTTCAACCCCAGCAATTCCATTTTTCAGCTACCCATTCATCCCTCACCAACACCATTTCCCACCTATGATGGGTATGGAGGTACCAGGTATGTCTCCCAGTGTCCTGACAGCTGATCCACAACAATTGCAAACTTTCTTCAACTTTAATCATATGAACACATAAGCTTCTTATAATCATTCCATTTGTACAATATTTTTGCAAGCTTTCCCCTCATGCTAACATTTATCTCGTTATCTTAATGTCAGGGTGATTGAGCTGACTCAGTGATTGTATGGTTGGTTGTATCGGTGCACTATCACATTCTCTCCCGCATTGAAGTTTATCAATAAAGTTATTATATTTGAACATTATGTTGTGTACATACTTGGGAGATACAAGTTATTACAGTAGTACCCAAACACAATGTAATGCAAAATGAAACACAAAATAAAGAGAAGAGGAAAGTACAATGTAATCAAAGAAAGTAGACGCGTGCCTCAACCGCTGAACTGTTTGAAACCAAACCTGGCATAAAGGTAGAGCTAGTTATCTTCTATCAAACAAGCCTAAGATCGACGGAAACGGATGAGTGGTTGTTGAGTACATGTGGTAAGAAGTTGGGGATAGTGTCGCATGTGAGAAGTTTGGTTGGAGGTTGGAAATGGCATGGAAAAAAACATACAAAAATCATGGGAATGGAGGGGGATGTATTAGAGGGTATTGGGGAAGGGCCAGGCAATCGCGGAATGGTGGTGGCTCATGTAAACAAGCGCAAGAGGGTGGTTAGGTAGTCAGTTTAGCAACAAACACAGTGAACTGCCATACTTATGACTCGACATACAACACAGGGCAGTTTTGGGTGGCAAACCCACCCTCATTCTTTCTTTTTCAAGTAAGGAACATCTGGGGTGGAGTAGAAAACATCGCATTGTGAAAGCAACTGGAAAAAAAAAAAGAGACACACATCATCATGTTTGTTCATGCAGTTCCCACAGCTCAGTTTGTTTGGGTATTGTGAGTTGTTAATTTGGTGTTGCATGTGAAGAGAGAGTGTAGTGGAGTGCATGAGTTGGAGCAAAGAAAAAACTTCTAAGTCACAAACCCATTCATTTGAAACTGTACAGCACCTGGATGCAAATGATGGACTCACACACATGGACGTATCTATGTGTGGTTGTGGTGATTGAGATGATTGAGAGTAGTTGATTGGGCAGATTGGGCAGATTGAGTGATTGAATTGCTCTCAACCACTTCAATCGGCCTTGGGGGTTTCCTGATGCATCGATTTAGTGGCATGAAATAGATGGTGGGATGGGTGGTAACAATGGATATAATATAATTGCAGATCCTTCTTCATTAGTTCAAATTTTCATTGTGACATGCGACAATACTACTTTTGGTTCAGTTCAAAACCTTTGTGCGACATGCGACTGAACTTATGGTCATTATACCACAGTATATGTTGGTACGGCTTGTTGTAGACATTAGTAAACTAGATCGCGACTTTGCAATGGTTGGAATTGTCAGGAATGTTTCTTGTCATGAGGAGCCCCAAGTATGGAAGCTGGCAGTTAAAGATGTAAGGGTAGGTGGGCAGAGACTGTGGCACTTAGACTGAAATTGGACTAAGTTGTTCTCAGCAGTTTCCATTCCACTCAGTGCCTTATCCTCTCCACCATACCATACATGTTCTGCAACCTGCTCATTTCCTCCCAATTTGACCTTTCGCTATGCAACTAGCTACTCTTCTCAGAAGTGGCAAGTACTTATGAATATGGACACTGGGCATGCTGCCTCACTGACAGTGATGCCATGAATGGCTTCCATCGGGACGTGTTTCAACACATCTTTACATGTCTTTAACTCATTGGTGAATGAGAAATAGCATTTATTTATTTTAGAAAGTCATCAAGCCTCTCACAGCAAACAGGAATCTATGTTACCCAAGGGTCACACCTGTGGTAGAAAAGCTTGTGCATCTGCTTAGGGCGTAGTTTGGCCCCATGTGCACTCATTAGTTTATCTCCCAACTACCTCTTCTGTCATATCTGTACAATCCCAACCTCCGCTCTGGGCTCCCGGAACTCTGAACCTGACTTCCAGAGTCCTACTTCCCTTCTGTCACCTTCTCCTTGCCGACTCCCAAGAGGTTATCCCACCTCCGGTTCTGACACACCCTTCAGTCCGACTCCGGAACATTCCAGGTCCGACCTCAACCTCGACACCTTCCAGACAAGCATGCAACACCTATGCTCCCAACTCCGGACCTCCGCTCTGGAATCCCGTTTGCATCTCTGTCTCCATGTAAGGCCAGTTGGGTGCTGGCCTGGGTTGACTCCTCAGTCCTCAGTAGTCAAGATCTAGGCTGTATGGAGCTTATGATTCGACTTTGGGTTGAGAGTAAAGAGTTCAGAACCCTTTACCCGAGCCCGAGCCATACATATGTAAATACAGTTGTTTACATTGTATACAAAGAATAAAGAACAAATAAAGTAAGCGTGCAAAGCATGCACCATCACTCCACCACCCATCCCTTACACTCCGGAACCTCCGGTCTTAGCTCCGACCTCGGACTTTGACCCCACCTCCGCTTATACCCATTGTATTGGTTAGCTCATTCCATTTAATTACGTTTGCCAATATTCCGGAGTTTAACTTCCGAGTTCGGACTTTCTGGACTTACGTCGGACCTTGCAACTATTGCATTGCTCCTTTCAATTCTGCTATTCTCCCTCATTCTTATTTGGGCTGCTGCTTCCTTTCTATTCAGTCAGCTAGCCATTCCCCACTCCCATCCTCCCTCCTTCCTCCTTGGGCCTTGGCCCTGTCATATCCATCCCCGGCCATCGACTTCCGGTCCCTCCGATCCCTCCGGTCTACCTCCACTCCTTCTTCACTAACCTCGGAGCTCCTGTATTCCGTAATCCCCTTGGTACCCTTCGATGGTCACCACCCCCTCCTTTCAATTTATTACCTATGCCTCCCTAAGTACGGAGCCTTGAAGACTTCTGGACAGCTCCGATGTCCGCTAGCGCACTCCCGCCTCCATTGGGCAATACACTCGCCTGCCCTGCAGAGCCCACCTTCGGGCCTATCCCTCCTTTCTGTTTCTGGGTTATTGCCTGCCTTTCCGTTAACCCCGTAACCCAACTCGTCGGTAATATTCAGTCGGCTAATGTTTAACCCTGTTAGCTCAGCTCGGCTCGGCTCCGCCAATTGCGGACCCGTCTTCGCTGTAACTATAGATACCCAACTTGTACATAGGTTACACTTCAGTAATAAAATCGACTAGAGTTAACCCCCTTCAGTTCTGGTTGCCAGTCAGTAAGTTAGGGCATGGACATGTTACTTGGCACAGCGCTCTTGGCATAAGTCGCTGAGGCCGAAGCCCTCCGCCATGGAGACTTTCCCTCGTCTCAACCTGGTCTCTGACAGGCCCTTCACTCTTCCTTTGGGAAACACCATTGAGTCAAACCCTTGACCCTCAGTGTTGTTCCTCCTTCCAGCTCCCTTTGTCTGCTTTCAGAGTACCCTTGCTCCTTTTGATTCCGGACCCCTCCTTATATACAATGTACATAGTAACTTGTAACCTCAGTCTGAAATCGACTTGATTTCCCCCCAAGAGACTTCCCTCCTGCTAGATCCAAAATTAGGGACCCCCAGGACAACCAGCAATGGCACAGTGCTCTGCATGAGTTGCTGAGGCCAAGGTCCTTCCACACTAAGTCTCCGTTTCCATTCCGGAGTCGTCTGAATCCACCTGATCTAACATCTTCCCCCTCTGCTGCCTTGCTAATTTCCCCCTGTGCTAGTAACCAAAAAATGTGACTGGAATTTGAAAGCAATGATAATGACCAAGGCCTGATGACAACCACCTCTACTGTTAGAATGGGTGGATTCGGACGACTCCGGAGTGGAATCGGAGACTTAGCGTGGAAGGACCTCGGCCTCAGCAACTCAGGCGGAGCGCTGTGCCATTGCTGGTTGTCCTGGGGGTCCCTAATTTCGGATCTAGCAGAGGGAAAGTCTCTTGGGGGCAATTCAGGTCGATTTCGGACTGAGGTTGCAAGTTACTATGCACATTGTATATAAAGAGGGGTCCGGAATCAAAAGGAGCGAGGGTACTCCGAAAGGAGACAAAGGGAGCTGAAAGGAGGGTCAACACTGAGGGTCAAGGGTTTGACTCAATGGTGTTTCCCAAAGGAGGAGTGAAGGACCAAGGCCCAGGGAGGAAGGAGGGAGGATGGGAGTGGGGAATGGCCAGCTGACTCAATAGAAAGGAAGCAGCAGCCCAAATAGGAATGAGGGAGTATAGCGGAATTGAATGGAGCAATGCAATAGTTGCAAGGTCCGACATAAGTCCGGAAAGTCCGAACTCGGAAGTTAAACTCCGGAATATTGGCAAACATAATTAAATGGAATGAGCTAACCAATACAATGGGTATAAGCAGAGGTGGGGTCAAAGTCCGAGGTCAGAGCTAAGACCGGAGGTTCTGGAGACGGAGACACGAACAGGATTCCGCAGTCAGGAGCATAGGTGTTGCATACTCGTCTGGAAGGTGTTGAGGTTGAGGTTGGACCTGGGATGTTCCAGAGTCAGACCAAAGGTGGTGTTGGAGCCAGAGGTGGGATAACCTCTTGGGAGTCAGCAAGGAGAAGGTGATGGAAGGGAAGTAGGGCTCCGGAATCGGTTTTGGGGTTCCGGGAGCCCGGAGCGGAGGTCAGGATGTATGGATATGACATCTACTAGTACTGCCAAAAAACCGTGGCCGTCACTATGATGGCCCCACAACAGAAGAAAGTCTGAATCGATTAACCTGGCCCACTCAGAAGGAAAGACCACCTCATGAAGCTGTGCACAAGGGTTGAAGTTCACTTATGGTATCTTATTCACAGCCCAAGACTTCCTCCACTTTCATTAGGTTATGCTCTGTCAAATCAACCTCATCAAAATCAAATTGATGCTCGACTTTTATGCTACCCGTCTCTTGCTCGCACTCAACTCCATACTTTTCTCGTGAGCCCAAGGCTTCAATCCTGCATTATGCTTTCCAGATCGGCTCTTCTTCGTCACTCCTCGAATTGACCTTTCTGTCTTTTGTTCACCTCAACTTGGTTCATTTCCTCACTTGCAATGACTGCTATTCATCGCAACGTAACCTAGAGTCTCCACTGTATATCGCCATAAATGTAGTTGTAAATGACGATAAATAACCACGTTTTTCACCAAATTAACAATATTGTAAATGATGAAATCCGACTGGTAAATTACAAAATGCACCCTTGTAAATTGACCGTTTACAATCGTTATCGTGGTGGGAAATCATTAAAAAACAGGTCATCTACCTCCTTTAACGTGGTAAAGGAATCCTGGTAAAATGCAATGGACCACATTGTAAAACACAGTTTTAATCATGTTAAAAATGAATGTATTATACAATGGTTAAGATGATCTTTTACGCATCACTAATTCCCTCTGTGCATAGAATTCATAGAGGAGTGATGATGAAGTGAATGGAAGGCCTGATTGATAAACATGCCAAGGATCGGCATCGGAACCCAACCTCCATGTGAAAGTGAGTGCCTCCTCTACCAGTGCTATTGATGTGTGATTCTATAATGCAAAGAATGATGTCATATAATTGAGATACATGAAATACAATTGATTTAGAACCCACATGTGCACTCAACTTCCATTCCATCAATAAACAAATTGTCGCCATCGCCATCACCTCGTCCCAGGGCCATGACAAGGATGAGAGGAAGTTTATTGAAAAGAATTGTTCAAACTCTCTTTGCAATTCATTAAATTCCGGTGAAAAGAGCAGCGAAGGGTCCAAGTGTAAGAACAAGTTGTGGAGCATGACAACTCTAGGTTTCTGCTTGCTCTGAAAGAGCTCCCACTTCCTTCTATCTCCCAAAGGAAGTTCAGTAAACTTGTTCTTCTGAATGACATCATTTATAAATTGAAGAAGTCTGTCATATCCGTGCATACCCGATCCCGACCCAACTCCTGGACCTCCATCTTCACCACCTCCAGAGTCCTACCCTACTGCTGTCCGTTCCAATATTCACCTTCAGTCCTGACACCACACCTGACACCACACCTCCTCTCACCCCTCATGCCACCTCCACTCCTCTGTCCTTCTCCTGCCCTATCTCTGTCTGCTCCAATACTCACCTCGGACCGAACACCACTCCTCTCGCCACCCTCCTCCTACTCCTCCCCCCACTCCTCCTCTTCCTCCTCACAACACCTCTACCCTTCCGTCACTCTCCTACCCTTCTCCCATCTGCTCCGATACTCACCTTTGGACCTAACACCTTTTCCTCTCCTTGTCAGGGACTCGTCCGGGGTCGAGGGGGTCCGGGTATAGCGTCCGGGACCGAGAGCCTGGCGGGGGGCGGATCGGGCGTGCGTACTGACAGGCCCGATGTGGGACAGTGGTCCCTGGCCACTTAGACTGAAGTGGAAAGTTGTTATTATTATTAGAGGAGAAATATTGTACTACTTACCTGAAGTGGAAAGTTGAGAAGAAGGCTACTTCTTCGGTTCCCACTTCAGGTTCGTTTATATACATGCGGCTTGGATCACATGACGGATGCCACGTCACCCTTGCACACAGCCGTAACCACCCGGGTGTCTCCATGGGAGATCCCGAGGGTATCCGGTGCAGGCGCGCGTGCTGGGCACAGCGGGAAGTCGCCCGAGGTGCCCGGGCCGGGTACATGGTGGGCGCGCTGCAGATGGGTCAGTTGTACATTGATACAGAGAAAGTTGTCCATGTAGAATAAAGAGAGAATAAAGGAGAAGTAAGATAAGGAGAAACTGAGGAGGGGAGGATGAGGGGGAAGAAGGGAAAGGGGGAGGAGGTAAGGAAGGGTGGACCGGCGGGGTACCGGGTCAGGTTGGGCCGGGTGGAGCCGGGTCAGGCGGGTGTGCCCTGACACTCCTCCACTCCTCTCCCCTTTCCTCTCTCCTTTCTCTTTCCTCTGACCCTCTTCTGCCGACCCTCCACCAAGTTATGACCTTCTGCCACTGTCCCATACCCCATACTCGGACACCGCTCGTACTTTCGCTCTGAGACTCCGTCATAGTTCCTACCTCGGACTTTGACTCCACCTCAGCTTTAGTCCATTGCATTGGTGACCTCATACTACGTAAACACCATTGCCAATATTCCTCGGACTTCCAACCCCACCTCCATAAGCTCCATAAGCTCTGCAACCTCCAAGCTCCATGGATCATCTTCGGCACTTTTGCTGCCTGTAATGTATCTTTCGCATTTTCCCCTCATCCCTATTTGGACTGCTGCTTCTTCCCATTCTAGCCAGTTAGTCATCATCCCCACTTCACCTCACCCTCCTGCCCCTCTGGGCTTTGCCCTCCTTACCTCCTTTCGGATGTACCACAGGTTCTGCCCTATGACCTTCAGTACCACCCCACTTCTGTCACCCCTTTGTTCCCGTTCGGATGCCTTTGTTCCAATTCGGACTCCCTTTGTTCCCTTGTGCTTTCGCCCTCTCCATTATATATCGGCACTTGTACATACTCGTTTTAGGCCCTTAGTCTAAAATCGACCTGAAATGCCCCCTAGAGACTTCCTGCTCGCCGCCTATGAAATTAAGGACCAAATGGACAAACAGCAATGGCACAGCGCTCCGCTTGAGTCGCTGAGGCCAAGGTCCCTCCTTGCTAAGTCTCCAGTTCCCCTCCAGAATCGTCTGCCCTCGCCCAGTTCTAACAAAGTCGCAATCCAATGCTATACCCCTCGACATCATGAATAAAAAATACTTTGTCTTGTTTCTTGCCGATAGGATCTCCTGTAATGAACTCCTGTACTGTTGCATGGTAGAACTTGACAGTCTGCTTGATGTCAGAGGGAAGATGAACTATCGAATTGATGGGTTTTAGTGTCAAGCAGACTTCATCCTCAGCAATTCCTAGGAGTTGTACTCCAGCTTGCAGCAACAAGTATTCCGATTACTTTGCGATAGTTCTGGGCCATGTGTGGACGAATACCGGAGGAATTCCGCATGTAGGCTCGTTGCATGATTCGCAAGTACTCCGACTTCAGATCCATAGGCACTTCATCAAGATTACGGAAATATTTGAACTCCGATTTAAGAGTAGAACCGTAGTACCAAATCTGGAGCTGCACATCACATATTCGAGTTTCAGCCATAATAGGCAATACACACCTCTTGCAAAGGCATCAAGATCCTCATCAGATGGTTCCCACATGGAGTTCTCGATAAAACCACAAAACCCTTTGTCTGTCATATCCATACAACTCCGGACCTCCGCTCCTGTTCTGGACCTCCATCTCCTCCTCCAGAACTCCACATCCTCTACCTCCTCTTCCCCCTGTTGGTTGTTGAGAGCCCACCCTACCTCTGGCTCCAACACAACATCCAACACTACCTCCGGTCTGACTCCAGTTTACTCCGGTGTCAGGGCACACCTGCCTGACCCGGGTCCACCCGGACCCACCCGGCCACACCACACCTGCTCCCCGCTGCCCAACCCTCTCCCTCCTCCTTCCTCCCTCTCTTCCCCTTTCCTTTCTCTCTTTCTTCTCCTTTCTTTCTCTCTTTCCTCTCATCTTCCTTTTCTTGTTTATTTCCTTTTATCTACATGGACCACCTTCCTTTGTATCAATGTACTATTGACCCATCTGGCCCACACACCCCAGACAGCTTCCCGCTGTGCCCAGCATGTGTGCATGCAGCGGACACTCTCGGGATCCCCCACAGGGACACCCAGATGCCTGCAGCTGTCTCCGAGGATGATGTGGCACTCGTCATGTGACTCAAGCCGCATGTACATAAATGTACCTGAAGTGGGAACTGAAGAAGTAACCTTCTTCTCACATTCTCCACTTCAGTCTAAGTGGCCAGGGACTGCTGTCCCTTCCCGGACCTGCCAGTACACATGCCTGGTTCGCACCCCGCGAGGGCCCTTCTGCTGGGCGATACATCCGGACCCCCTCTACCCTGGATGCATCCCTGACAGCAGAAGAAGGTTTCAACCTCATCTCCCCTGCCTCCCCAGCCATGGTGTCAGAAGAGCAGTATGAAGAACTGCTGGCTCGCTTCCAAGAGCTCCAAGCCATTGTGGAGAGCCAGGCCCACAACCACCCCCCACCTGCACCTGCACCAGCACCTGCCCCCATGCCTACCCCCGCACCTGCACCTGCACCCAGACCCAAACCACCCAAGGTCGCCCCCCCCCCACTCCCTTCTCAGGAGCTAGTGAGGACCTTGACCGTTTTAAGGCCGAGTGCGGGATTTATTTCCATGTTCGCATGGCTGAGTTCCCCACTGCCCTCTCCCAGATCTGTTCGTGTTGTCTTACATGAAAGGAGGACCTGCAGGGGCATGGGCCACGCAACGCACGATCACGCTGCTGACAGCCGGCTCCCCCCCCCCTCACCATGGACGAGTTCAACACAGAACTCGACACCATGTTCCAGGACCCGAACCGGGAGGCCACAGCCAGACAGAAGCTGGCAGCCATCCACCAGGGAAGCGACTCCGTGGATAAAGTGATCCAGGAGTTCGAGATATTGGGACCCGCCTCAAGGCTGGGTGACGTAGGACTGGTCGACCGCTTCGAGCAAGTGATCAACTCCCACCTCCGGGAGAGCATATACCGGCTCTGCCCCATGTCCACTACTTGGGCCAAGTGGAAGCGCAAAGCCACGCTCCTGGACAACCAGTGGCGACGATTCCAGGCCACTCAACCACACGCGTTCCCACCCAAACCCATGCTCCCGCCAACTCGACCCCCGTCGATCGCAACCCCACCTCAGGCACGACCCACACCCAGGCCCCCACGACTTGCACCACTGCCTCCACCCTCCACCCCAGTAGCCCGCCCCACGACAGGGACGGGCCCCCAACCGATGGACCTCGACTGCTCGAGGACTGACCAGAGACGGTGCTACAACTGTAACACCCAGGGGCACATCCTACGAGACTGCCTGCACCCCAGAGTCCGCCAGGTGCGACGTCTCTGTCATATCCATCCCTGGCCATCGACTTCCGGTCCCTCTGATCCCTCTGGTCTACCTCCGCTCCTTCCTCACTAACCTCGGAGCTCCCATATTCCGCAATCCTCTCGGTACCCCTCGATGGTCACCACCCCCTCCTTTCAATTTATTACCTACGCCTCCCTAAGTATGGAGCCCCGAAGACTTCCGGACAGCTCCGACGTCCGCTAGCGCACTCCCACCTCCACTGGGCAATACACTCGCCTGCCCTGCAGAGTCCACCTTCGGGCCTATCCCTCCTTTCCGTTTCTGGGTTATCGCCTGCCTTTCCGCTAACCCTGTGACCCGACTCGTCGGTAATATTCAGTTGGCTAATGTTTAACCCTTCTGCTCCGTTTGGCTCCGCCATTTGCGGACCCATCTGCGCTGTAACCATATATATATCCAACTTGTACATGGGTTACACTTCAGTAATAAAATCGACTAGAGTTATCCCCCTTCAGTTCTAATTGCCAGTTAGTAAGTTAGGGCACGGACGTGTCACTAGGCACAGCGCTCTTGGCATAAGTCGCTGAGGCTGAAGCCCTCCGCCACGGAGACTTTCCTTCGTCTCGAACCTGGTCTCTGACAGTCTCCACCCTGAGGACCTTTGGGCGTTGATGGAAGGGCTGAAGAGGCAGCTGACTGAAGGGCCAGAGATGGAAGGGACAGAGCCAGAGATGGAGGCTCAGGGGGATTTTCAGGAAGGTGACTGGTGAGGGATGCATCCTGGGTGCCTGTAGAAGATACCTCGTGTAAATACCACAGCGCATGTGAGTCAATGCCAATGCCAAAACTTCACCGAGTTATTGCAAAGAAGAGGAGAAAAAACACATCCTCAACCCGTGAGAGTAAGAGAACCATAGAGATGGCACCTGAAGTGGCAGTATCCCTGCCAGCCATCTATGTCCTCTCCAAGCAATCCCCCAGATCCCTCAGCCTTACGGTGAAACTAACTGCCCTGACCTCCCTCGCATCAGTGTCAGTATCAGCCCTCCTAGACTCAGGAGCCACTGGGAACTTCGTAAGCCCTGAGTTCGTCCGGAAGCACAGGCTCGAGACGACCCCTCTCCCGCAACCCATTCCCGTCCGTAACGTTGATGGAACCCCAAACAAGAATGGAGCCATAACCGAAGAGCTGGAAGCCCTCCTGACATTCGGGCAGCACACAGAGCGTGCCCGCTTCGCAGTTGCAAACCTGGGATGACAGTCCCTCATCATAGGGCACTCGTGGCTGCTACACCACAACCCAGAGGTAGACTGGGCACAACAGAAAGTCGTCATGTCCCATTGCCCGTCCGCCTGTAGACAGCCATGAGCACGAGATGACCAGGACCCTGCACTAGAGCCGGGAGATGGGATCTACGCTGCAATCATCCCCCCCAGCTGGGGACACGACCTGAGGGCCACCACAACCCCCTCTCAGCGGATGGCCCAGGAGGCCCATGACCTGGATGCAGAGCCCACATCGTTCGAGATGCTGGTGCCAGAGCACTACCAGGACTTCTGGGACGTGTTCTTGAAAGAAGCCTTCGACCAGTTGCCCCCCCGGAAGCCCTGGGATCACGCTATAGATCTGGTACCAGACGCCAAACTGCCCAGAGGGAAAACCTTCCCCCTCTCACGCCCGGAGCAGAAAGAACTGGACAAGTTCCTGCACGAGAACCTGCAGAACAGGCAGATACGACCATCTAAGTCTCCGATGGGTGCACCAGTCTTTTTTGTCAAGAAGAAGGACGGATCACTGCGCCTGGTACAGGACTACCAGAAGCTGAACGAGATCACCGTAAAGAACTCGTACCCACTCCCACTCATCTCGGACATCCTCGCCCGCCTCCGGAATGCCAAATACTTCTCTGCCCTGGACTTGTGCTGGGGGTTTAACAACATCCGGATCAAGGATGGGGACGAGTGGAAGGCAGCATTTGCGACCAACCGAGGGCTGTTTGAGCCTATGGTAATGTTCTTTGGGCTGTGTAACTCCCCTGCAACTTTCCAAACCATGATGAATGACATCCTTAGGGATTTCATTGACTGGGAAGTCATTGTCTGCTACATGGACGACATTCTCATCTTCATGGCCACCCTGGAGGAGCATCGGAAGGTCGTCCGAGAAGTCCTGGAGACCCTGCGAAAGAGGAGGCTCTTCCTGAAGCCGGAAAAATGCAAGTTTGAGCGGACCCGGATCGAGTACCTCAGCCTTGTCATCTCGGAGGGCAGCGTTGCCATGGACCCTGTAAAGGTCCATGGAGTCCTCGACTGGCCAACCCCAACCAAAGTGAAGGAAGTGCAGTCCTTCCTGGGGTTTGTGAACTTCTATCACCGGTTCATCAAAGACTTCTCTGAGAAGGCACGCCCGCTCCACAAGCTGACCCGAAAGGCCCAAACCTGGAACTGGGGCACGAACGAAGACGATGCCTTCCGCACCCTCAAAGAAGCTGTCACCACTGCCCCAGTTCTCTCCTTCCCCTCTGACTCCGGCCGCTTCAAACTCAAATGCGACGCCTCCAATTTCGCAACTGGTGCCATCCTCTCCCAGCTCCAACCCAATGGGGAGTTCCACCCGGTGGCATTCATGTCCAAGAGCTTTACGGACATGGAACATAACTACGAAGTGTATGACAAAGAGATGCTCATGATCGTCCAAGCTCTTGAGGAATGGTGACACTTCCTAGAGGGTGCTGAAGAGAAGGTCGAGGTCTACACCAATCACTGCAACCTGGGGTACTTCTGGATGGCCCAGAGGCTAAATTGCCACCAGGCCTGATGGTCCCTCTTCCTCTCCCGCTTCCACTTCACCCTTGTCCATCATCCTGGGAAGCTCATGGGAAAACCGGATGCGCTCTCCCATCATGCTGACCACCTGAAAGGGAAAGACGACAACGAAGGGTTGACCCTCCTCCACCAGCCTGGTTTGAGGCCCGTGCAACAGAGGCATTCTCAGTGGAAGGTGAGGAGGTAGGCATCTTAGATCGGATATGCAGGGCAAAGGACCACTATGAGAGGGTAGTAAAAGCCATGCGAGAGCTAGGAGAGGGGACACTAAGGTCAGATGAATGGGAAAGACAAGGCAAATTGGTCTTGTACCGGGGGAGGGTATACGTCCCAAAAGACCCCCAACTCCACCACGACCTAGTGAGGCTACACCACGA